GAGAGGACTAGCAAGACAGTGATCCCCGATCTTGTGTCAAAAGAAAATGACCGCCAGTTTGGTAGCAGATAAAATGATGTAAGTGTAAGATTGCATGGCTTTTCCCTCGTCTGGGAGAAAACATTCGGCCTGTAATGTACATCTAATGGACTGACACTCTTTGAGACATGTGTCAACACAAGGGTGAAGAGGAAAATATGGAAATAGATATGCTCGTGCCTTTGGTCGGGACTTACAGACAGCTGTCTCAGTCATTCAGCACAGGGCATGAATGGAAAATGTAAGCATGACTATCATTTCCAAAAGACAGCAATTACGTCCCTTGTCTGCAGAAAACTGGATCAGTCCATATTTCCAAGCAGAGACAAGACAGATGATCTTTTCTGCTGTTTTGACAGATTATATCCGCGCTACAGTAAAGAGCTCAGGCAGCTGCCACTGATGTTACTTTCTCAAGATTTTTGACACAAGTGAAGGACTTAAAGTGTTTTTGCAATACAATTACTGACGTGCGCTGATCTGAGACTGTGATATCAGACGATATGAAGTGATGACAGCTGACGGATGTGATGCAACAGCAGCTGACGTTTTGAGGTAAAGACTTGTATCGTTTTACAGATCGCCATTAGCTTAAGGATTCTCTTAACTCAGAACTTGTCTTCCAACCCACTAATCCAAGTAGCTAGCATCATCTTCACACTTAAGCTGTTATCTAGTTTCACTTGACTTCCGATACAAGGGTCAGAGGTCTAACTACTCTCAGGTTCAGAAACCCAACGCTCCATCCTGTTGCAAGTCTGCCGTCACAGGATTCGGAAGTATTAAATCCAGTTTTATAAAGAACATTACTCAGCAAACAACAAGAATATTAACTTAGAAACCATCTTTACATTCATGAGGATAATTATTAAGGGGACAACTGCTGTAAACACACAACAACTTGGAAATAAATAATTAATGATCTGGTGCACACTGTAATTAACACCCAGGGTGGTTCTAAATGCACAAAGTCATAAAAAGGGAACTGACTCAACAGAGGATGAAAAACCTGTTAGTAAAAATCAAAGCCCTGTCATCTTACAGCTCAACTCTATACTGTTTCTTCAGCAGGCATCAATAATCTGACTGGATTCTTTTATCAGCGGCACTGATGCGCCACATCATAGTATTTAGTGAGAAAAGATTCCTCCCGTCGCACTTTTAATGGCTTTTCCCTCCACCCGATCATCTTGCGTTGCCTGCCCAGCAAAGACATCTAGGTGTTTTCTTCATTTGAACATTTTGTCCTCTCTTATCTCCCTGACATATGTGGCAGGTATCTTCTGTGGCACAGTGTCGTCCATCCACATTTCCAACTGAGGTACACGGGCACATGACAAACACTATTTTTGCAAAAATAGAAGCAAAAATAATCAATAACTGAAAGGCAGTCAGCTGAGCTTAGCAGCACACTACTCATATCGTCTTACCTCGTGCACAATAAAAGACGCCTACATGTTTCTTACTGAGCTGCTAGCCCGCCAGCTAGTTATCCATATACTTAGTAACTGCGTTAGGTAGTTCACTGCCGAAATAAGAGCAGCGCATAAATAACCAGCTAACTAGATTTGAATATACAAGCAAATGAATAAATGAGTAAGAGGATCTTAAGTGCATAATTCATTTGAAGAGAACACATCTGTAGACACAGCAGTTGCAATGCTCTCCTTCCTCTAGGGCTTGCTGGAGTTTCATCATCTCTGCACTGGTATAGCTATGTCTAATAAGAACAAACACTGTGCAGCACATCTGTCAGATGTGTGCATTTTCTAAAGCCGGAGACTAGGAAACCTTGACACGGTACAAGCGCTCAGCTTATTACAGGAGGATTTCAAATACTCTGTATTTGCAGTATTTACGTTCTGCAAAATGCATAAAAGGAAATAATGTGTTGTCTGTCAATAAGGGAAATTCAATGTTTTACAGTGTTTACCAGTAGTTCCCAAACATTTAATCAGAACAAATGACTGTGCTGTATTTTTCCCAAGAATCAACATGACATTTGTCAGTGACTTCATGCAGGATTTAAATGTATTTCTATATACAGGTACATTTATACTGCTAATAAGGCTTAATGTAGTGTTAGGCATGGATTAAACCTCCAAGACCCACCTTGCACAGGGGGATTTCTTAAGGTGATTACTTATTAATCCACGGGAACCTACTGAGTTACCCAGAGACCCATGTCAGCTCTGAACCAACTCACAACCCTGAGCCAACTACAGAAGCAGGGCATGCTGGGAAGTCTTGGCACAACATGAATGAGCGGTGCTCACTCTGGTGCTTCTATATGTGTTGATGTTAAGGATAAATGTGCACTGACCAAATGTGGGTTTTCAGATCTATTTTGAGCAGATGAAATGATGCCGTTTGTTACTTTTACAATTCTTCCTAATTTAAAATCATCACTGTTTTATGCATTTAAAACTTTATTATACAGTCACGTGAAGCAGACTTCTCTCCGACCTGCACACAAAGATGTTCCCCCTCTGGTTCCTTTCTGCATGCATGTCTTTCACCTCCTCAACTTCTGTAGGACAGAGCCAGCCTATAGTGACAACCCAGCGCTTAGCACATCATTACAGAGTGTGATGAATATTTTAGCAGGCAATAGTCAGCGGGGGGACATATCCCTTTTACAGGTGCTCCCTATCTTCGTTTTTGATCGGCTGTAATGTACCATTGAATCCCAAAGTCCTACTCTTTGCCTGCTATTCTGTGTCAATTCCATTCATAATAGATAGAACCAAGTCATTCACATTACCATTAATGGTGATGTCTAATGTAGGGGCACTACATTCCCATAAACTCCTAGACATGGTTGGACTGGCTCATACCTCCATCCTGACAAACTTAAATTGCTCTCTATCATGTTAATAAGGTGAAATAAAGAGTTAGGATCACAGGGGTCTGGGTGACTGATATCAGTTCTTGCATATGTTGCTTTAAGCTTTGGAGAAGGAGCAACGCAAACGGCATCCTTCCTCTTCTCCACCACCACAATGCCCTCCACATCTCCTTCAAGTAAAGCTAGATGGCTTAGAGTGGTTGTATTTTTTTTCAACAACAAATTGAAGCAGACAGTTTGAGAGATGGTCTGGCTTGAATCTAAGGCTTTGTGAAAGCTTTCCACTCCTGGCTATTCTATGAAGGTTGCGGGGCGGTCAGTCTACATCACGATATTCTGCATAAGTCGTACAGCAGCTACGGCTCTCACAAAACCAAAAGTTGCCTGCGTGGATGAGAGTTGCTAATTAGACGAGAGTCTCCGGCTGTATCAGTAGGCCACTAGCTGGCCCCTGATGATGATCCATGCCCAGCTTCCTAAAATAGGAACGTCAAACTGCAGAAGCACAAGTTGGTCAACAACTTGGATTCCGTGTGACACCTCAAGCTAAGAATAGGCAGAAACCTTAGCGTGTTAACAGTTCTCATGAAGTCAGCCAGCCATCAAAGACAGTAGTTCAGGACGGTATCTTCAGCAACAACAACACCAGAGAGTCTGTGATCGCCTGTTTAAAGCCCTATGGCAGTTTTACCTGTAAAATCTTCAAAGAAATAGCAAGTGCAAAAAAATATTATGGGGATATAGAAGATAGGGATATAGGAAGCGAAGAAGCCACAACATCAAACACGGAGAGAGACACCCCTTTTTCTTCTAACCCAATTATGATTGAATGAAACTGTATTCCAGAAGAAAAGCACACACCATAATTGATGTCTCTGATGCTCGGTCCCTTTGACGCTGAGCCACCACTTAAGTCAGTCTAGGTATAAAATAACACAATGACTAATGAGACCGAGGAAGCAAAAGCATAAAAAACAGCAACAACAAAAAAAAAAAACATCTGCACTCACTGAGATCGCTTTCGTTGACCGTGAATTCTCTCCCTCACAATAGAGTCGGATACTTTATGCATTATGGGAAATGAGCCATTGAGAAATAACATGGTCGATGATAGGTCATAAATTTATAATGGTATTGGAAGAAGTTTTGAGTCGGAATGCATTAACACACAGAAGGGTGGAATTTTTGAGATGCTCGTCTCCAGATGTCACGAGTATTGTGCATCATCTTGGGTTCGCCTTAATCTGAAAAGAACATTTCCCTGACCTACTTATGAGTGCTCTACAGCTGAACCTCCTATATATTTTATGTTTTGCTGCAGTGAGCCAAATGTTTTCCTGCTGTTTTATGACCATTCTCTGTAAAACAAACACCAACACCGAGTGGCATGAAGCAGCTATTTTTTTTATCACAGGCGAGTCAATAACGGCACACGCAGAAGGACATTCTCTCCACCTGTGCGCGAGAGCTGCCTTTCAGCTGTGACGGCAAGGAAAAATAACATTCTTGCTCTTGTTCAAGCTTCTAACCACAGTGTTTTATGTTTATCTATTATTAATATCAGAACTTCATGCATGAATTAACAATGCTCCAAAACAATTAAAGTATAATCAACTGGAAATCACCATATGCTCCCACGGAGACTGAAATTTTGTGTTAAAAAGACTTTGAAAAAAAAAGGTATTTGAATAAAAATTGTATTAAGTGCACATTTTTGCCAGCAAAATCCTGACACTTATATTTCTAACCACAGAATAAGAGCTGACAAATAAATATATAACATTTCAGTTGATTCAGTAATGGATGCTGTGTCTGTCTCAAATCAAGCTGGCTTTTTTAAGAAACCAAATACTGTCACCCAATGGGACTGAACCATGTGTTCTGTCAGTGATATTATGAGTGTGTGTGTGTGTGTGTGTGTGTGTGTGTGTGTGTGTGTGTGTGT